TGACACCACTAACGTAAAGTTTGACTATTTTGAGGTTCCGATGCAAAATTTGAGCGCGATTTGTGTTGTATACACTAAGTTATAAGATTTTGTTTCGGCCAAGTTATGGAGTTGAACCGTGGGCATTTTCGCGCGATTACTTTCTACAACTTTCGACGTGGACTAACTCAACAGCAATGCATGGATGAACTTGGTTCAATTTTTGGTGATGAAGCTCCATCCAGGATCAGTGCTTATCGATGGTACAGTGAGTTCACCCGAGGTCGTAATTCACTCGAAGACGAATTTCGTGGAGGTCGTCCAAAATCAGTTGTCGTTCCGGAAACAGCTCATGCTGTGCACAAACTAATACTGCGAGATCGTCATGTAACCTATCGTGAGATTGAGGCAACCTTGATCATTAGTGGGACTAGCTTACATTCATTTTTGCATGAACATTTCACTGTAAAAAAATTTGTTGGCGTTGGATCCCACGCCACGTCAATGCGAGCTCCAACACATCGGCTCAAACAACCGCATTTTTGAGCACTCTAAACAAAGATTTGACAGGTCATCAGCCATGTAGTCCCCGGATGACTTCTTTTCATCCCGTACGAAAGAAACAAAATGAGAGAGCAACTTTTTTCGATACCCGAAGAAGCCGTTGATGAGTTCAGAATCCATGTTCTAGAGTTACCTACATCAGAGCGGCAAAAGTGCTTCGAAAATTGGTTCGAGCCCATACAAAAGTGTACAGATCTTAATGTAGAGAATTTTGAAAGGCAGTTAAGCGATTTTCAATAAATAGTATTTGTTCCTGTTCTCAAATCCCGAAATACAAAAGGCAGCCTACGATGATGTAGAATGTGATGGACCGTTTATGATTGGTGGCAGGGAATGATGACAAGTGATAGTGAATGATAAGAAGCCATAGAAGGTGAGAGCCACTTGGTCTATAACGCTCTTCATGATAACGGTGAAGCTTTGGCAATTTGGTAGGTGGTGTGGGATGGAAAAGGACTATAAACGATTGTTGCCAAGTACTGATAACATGTGATAAGTGCTGATAAAAGGCCATAGAAGACGAGAGCCACTAGATCTGCAACGAACTTTCTGTGAATAACTGAATCGTGGAATTTTAGTAGGTGGTGTAAGATGTGACAAGGTCGTAGGTACTCGATGACGGGCGCTGACAACTGCTGATACCGACTGATAATGAGTTATCAAGTCCGAAACGCCAAGTTCTTCGTGTTAACAACGGAGCTTGGGCGCTTTGGCGGCGACGAGAACGTTGGTGCTATGCCAGAAGCTGATGAAACTGATGAGGGTTGATAAAAATACTCGAAGGGGTGGAGCCACTATAATAATGGCCTTAACGGTGGAGCCGTGACAGTCTAGCATGCGAATTATGTATGGCGGGATCGTAGACGGCCAACGATAGAAACTGATAACAGCTGATAGCGACTGATAAGGGCACTTAACAACTGAATTAAACTCCTGTGATATTTACGATGTGTTTGATATTACGACTATCAGATTACGACCGCTACCTGGCAGGGTTTGTAACTCGGTGAAAAATCAACGTTACTTCTTGTTTTGATATCATTTACGACAAAGCTCTTCCGACCGCCAATGATTCGGGTTCTCAACCAATGATGTATTCGAGGAGAAAAGAAGGTCTAGCGATATTTGATAATGGTGTTTTTATCACTCGAGAATATTTGTGAGTACTACTCAATTCTTTGGTTGCCTATCAGTTGAACCTTTGATGCGTCATAATTTTTAAGATGAAGAGCAACCTATTGACACCTTTGATCGTAGGCATAAGCATCAGCACACCCTAATAACCACTGGCGCTGCCTTCTTACGCCAGCTCCCTTCTTTTTGGGTCCTGTGTCAAAGTTGTATAGACTGTAACGACTTTCGTGTTCAGCAAAGCATAATTCGTCCTAAAAATGAGGCCGTTGCTGATTACTAGAATGTCAGAAGGAGGAAAGCCCGGCGTTAGCCGGGCGATCCGACTGGTACGGAATATACGGTAATCTCAAAGTCCGCAAAAGGGATGAACTGTAGGGTTCATTTGTGGTGAAAATGTAGTTGAGGGAGAGGGGCCGCCCTCCGCGTCTTCAAATGTTGACGTGTTAGTTCAGGTCAAAAAAGCCTGCACCAAGCACACGTACTTTAGCCTGTAACGACACGTCAGCATTTTGATACACTAACTCAATACTGATAATAGGATTACTTCTCATTTCAATGCATCCCGCGGTTATGGCTGATCGACTACTGTCGCTTCGAGGCTCCACCTTGATAACCACGTGGCCGGTGCTTGCATCTAAGTCGAAAAAGGAGTTCGATGAATGGTCGGCGGATTGTGGATTGCTGTAGAAGACCCGATCGTACCCGAACTGTGGGAGGCCTTCTAAGCTGACGGACGAAGCAAGGGAAGAAGGAGCAGGAATGCGTCCGTTGGAAGTTTAAATGTTGCAGCAGTCCATGCCGTCAACCAGGGATTCCTCACAAGTTCGGGTACTCGAAGGATACCTTCTTCGAAAGAATGCACGGCGACAGCAAGATGTCCCTGGCGAGCTAACTTCGCCTACGGTCTTGGACTTGTGAAGGAGATGGCGCGAACGTTGGAGGTAAACGTGAGGAGCATCATTCAGTGGACGCAGTGGTTTCATGACGTGCTGGTTGATTATTACACCAACAACGTGAAAAAAAAGGAGGTCCCAATATAGTGGTGCAGGTGGACGAGACGTGTATCGTTCGACGGAAGTATAATGTGAGTCGCATCGTCCGCAAGACTGGCTCGTCGGAGGTATCCAGGATGGGACGAAACTAGTGTTTGTAGGGATCACGGTCGAGTGGAAAGGTTATAACAACCTGACCAGCTCGGGTTACCAGCACGAAACGGTCAACCACTGCGAAAACTTTGCGAACCCCACGACATGAGCGCATACACAGCGCATAGAAAACTTCTGAGGTCATTTAAAAGCGAGAATCCGATCGTGCCATGGGCTGAGAGGGGATTTATGGGACGACCATCTTTTGAAGTCCCATGGAAGTGGCAGTTCAATAGCGAAGAGTTTCTGTACGAACTGAGAAAGCTATTCGCCGCCAAGTATCCTGTTTCTTGAAAATATTCACGTGAGTTGAATTGCATTAAGGTCTATTATTTTTCAATTTACTTATAGCTGGAAAAATGTAAACTACCCCCTCCTATGCTTTAGGAATAGAGGAGTACCGGCGTGGACGAGATTCTAGCGTTATGAAAAGAATAAAAAAAATTAACAATGAAATACAATAAAGTAAAGCTGGTTTGAGTTGTTAGTGTTGACATAATACAGCGTAACACTTTCAAGAATAGCCGTCGACTAATTGGTAAGAACCTGTGGACTGACCTGAGGTAACACGTCAACATTAAGACGTGGG